ATTCCTAAAAAAAAAAAAAAAAAAAAAAAAGAAAAGGTAGGGGTCAGAGTTAATAAAGGGCACAGTGATGCGCGCTGACAAAATCACATAAAGAGAACAAGGCTATACTTATGTTGTGGTAAGGAGTGGCAGTCGAGCTGAGCCACCTCAAGCCAAAATGAGTTAAGATGCGCTAATTCCGAGTTAATTTTTCCACGTGGAACCAACCCGGGCGGACTAGATCCAGAAAATTCCTCAAAGTAGAGTCCATACGGGGTTTGTCGAAAGGAGGAGTCGCATTTATCATGCGAGTGGGAAAAGGGAACGGGGTAGAGGAAGAAACATAGACATAATATCGATCCCAATAATGCACCTTATTGGGATACTTGTCCATGAACTTGGTACCAGCACGGGCGGCCAAGTAAAACATATAAGGGGAATATTTTTTTCGCAATGAAACAAGCGAATAGGAGATCAGCGGTCGGTTCTATTTTTTGCCACGACAATACACAATAGAAGACTGACATAAAGCGAATAGAATTGGGATGGAATTGATTGATAGGAATACCATACTTCTCAGAAACTATGACGAAGAACGGATGAAGGGGAAGAGCGAGACCAGCATAGAACTGGCCTAAGTGAAAGGTTACACTGTTAGGAGGAGGAGAATGAGGTCGCTCATTCTTGCGAGGGGTCGCAATAGAAAAGCCTGAAGGAAGGCCCACGTCGCGCATAAATAACTCTATATGGCGAAGTGTCACAAGGGAGCTCTCTGAGAGTCCTGCTTCTCCTGATTGGGCTTTTTTCCTAACCTTTTGGGTCACCGGCCGAGGCCCAAGGTTTATAAGAGGGCGAGATGTGTCAGAGAGTGTGCCAGAAGAGGAGGAGTCGGAGGATGAAGAACTAGAAGACGAAGACGACCCTATGACTAGAGAAGAATCCTCATTTGGAGGCAGGATACGCTCGACGGAAGAAAGAGGACGAAGAGATGACGACGAAGGATCGAAAGCCATGACACGACGACTAAGGAAATTACAAAAGCAAAGAGGAAGTTTCTATAGACGAATTAAAAAGCAAACAAAAATATATGAGGCAGAGAACGGGGAAGTACCTGATGCCTTAGAAAGAAAAGGAGGCTAAGGGACGCGCAAGGCTGGATTTCACGATGAGCGAACTGGAATAAAAAGAGCGAGTATAAAAAAGGCGAGGCGAGATAGTAAGTTTGGTAAAAGAAACGGATGAAATGGAAGAGACGGTATATATAGGGGAGGGGAAAAGGTAAGGTGAAACGATCCCGCAAAAGGGACCATTGGATCAAACGGTGATGAAAGGCCGAGATTAAGACACGAGATCCGGGTAGCTGTAACGGTGGACAGGTGTCTCGTCACGATTGAGCGGCGACAGCTATTGAAAAGACGAGAAGACGGCATGTTCCCCACGTGCGAAAAACGGGGGGCTCGAAACACAGAGTAATTATGACGGAGCATTGGGAAGGGACGCACGTGCAAAGAAATAAATGCGTGGTGGAAAAAAGCTCACACGAAGGATGGTGTAAAACCCATTTACTTGTTCCCGATTTTCCATGGTTCCTCCTCTCACTTCTATGTTTCAATCCACACCAAGTGTATTCTCCAGCGAACTATGTTTAAGTTCACTCGAGAATAGGGGGGACTAGATGATAGGGCCCAGTTTGTCAACCCAACCATTCGTAATGGGCCTAGGAGCGAGAAGAGCAGCCCGCAGAGAAATTGGGCCAAGGGGAACGAACGGCGTGATAACTAAGCCCAATTATCGAGCAAAGCTTAGCTCATAAATTAAGATATGGTTTTCTCTCCAAGGCACTCAAACAGGGCCCAGTGGAATTGGACTTGGGTTAGAAAACAAGGCCCAAGCGAATTAATGGGCGATCAAAGCCCTCGTGATTAAGGCCGGGATAATTGCAAGAGGACGCGATTTCAGCATAAGAATAAGAGGAAGAAGCAATCAGATCTTCTATATAAGGCCCAAAATCAAGACCAAAGAGGAAGGACGGGAGTAATAGGCGTAATCTGCCCCCTTGATTACCGAGAAACAATTAGCTTATAAAATCCTTTGTAACCATCGTCCCAGAGGACAGGCAAGAAAAAGATACTCAGAAATAAACAAAGAAAAAGAGATAAACAAATATTTTGTTAGAATTTCTACCGAGGAATTTATAACTAAAGCCTTGGTGGAAAATTCTTGAGGGTATGAACTTTCGACACCTTCATATATATAAAATGAACAAACCAAACATTTAAGGAAAAAAAGAAGAAGAAGAAGAATAAGAAGATGCAGGCCGACATAATTGGAAGATGGCCGAGAGAATCAACATATGGATATGTCTAGAACCCCAAAATCGAATAAACACGTCATCCGCACCACCACAAACCATGAATCTTCCTTCAGCCGCTGCAGTTATTTCTGATGCAACGCCTCCACCGTCATGGGGTGCTAGACTGCCGCTTGAGGGCGGCACATCTGGCGTTGGAGAGATAGAAACGGGACGGCCAGTGGTGCAGAGGAAAACAACTAGTGGCGGTTTGAATGAAAGAGATTAAATAAGGAGAATCCTCAAGACATAAGATGAGAAACGTGAAAAGAGAGATGGGATAAGAAAATCAAACAGTGACTAGGATTACACATATATCAAAAAGGTAAAATAGGGTTATTTCTTAGTTAGGGGTATAATAACGATAATTAATTATTTTTATTAATAAAAGCTATTTGGGTTTATATTAAAAATAAAAAATAAAATTGGGCTCATTGTAATGATACTTGTGTAAGGCGTGATGTTTGTCAAATTTTCCCTAAAATATATACACCTCAAAAATTCAATTTAAAACACATTTTGTCCCCTTGTCACGTGAGAGTTAGATGCTAACGGAAAGCATTATTTTTGGGCCAAAATTGAAATTTAATATTATTTTTGGGCTAAAAAATAATTAAAAGTTTAAAGTACTAAAGATAATGTTAGAAGATGATTTTATTTTATTTTATTTAATAGTTAATACAATAATAAGACGTAATCAGATATGAAATTGTAATATCGATTCTCATCCATTTATATGTTGGGGTAATGGCAAATATGCCCATGACAAGGTCACTAAATTAAAAGAGGGACATTCAACTTTTTTGTCTTTCAAATAAATCCAACCAACCCATTGAAACTTATTTGCAAATAAGAAAAATCATTTTATATATATCAAAATTACCCCCAATTCATTGAAACCCAATTCAACTCCTATTTCATGATTTACACCCCAATTTAGCCCAATTTCTTTAATTAACCAATTTTAACCCTAATTTCAATTTTGACCCCAATTTTGACCGGCCACCACCGGAGACCGCCGGTCGCCGGCGTTGACTGCCGGTCTCCGGCGTTGACTTTTTTTTTTTGAAAAACTTTTTTTTTCCTGAATTTTTTTTCCGACCGGTCAACTGTCGTTGACTGCCTGGTCATCGGCGTTGACTTTTTTTTTTTTTTCTTAAAAAAAATATTTTAATTAATATTACTGTCTTGGCTGCTAAATTACTGTCTCCGGCAGTTATTTAACTGTCGGAGACAGTAATTTAACTGTTAATTGACTTTTTTTATTCTTCAAAAATATTTTAATTAATATTAATGTATTCGTTGCTAAATTACTGTCTCCAGCAGTTACTTAACTGTCGGAGACAGTAATTTAACTGTTAATTGACATTTTTATTCTTAAAAAAAATATTTTTAATTAATATTACTGTATTCGTTGTTAAATTACTGTCTCCAGCAGTTATTTAACTGTCGGAGAAAATAATTTAACTGTTAATTGACTTTCTTTTTTCTTTTTTTATTTTTTTTCTTAAAAAAATTATTTTAATTAATATTACTGCATTGGATCATGGTTATCGGATCGTAAATATATCTCGTATCGTTTTGCTCCACATCTCGTACCGTATCGTTTATCGTATCGTATCGTATCGTAAGATATTTAACCAACTATTAAACTGGTAAAATATATATATATATATATATATATATATATATATATATATATATATATATATATATATATATATATATAAGAAAAATATTAGAAACATGTAAAATTTAATATTTTAAAGTAAAATACTCATTAAAAAAATAGATCCAAAATTCAAATTCAAGTTTCAACATCAAATTATAAAATATTGACAAAAATCATAATTGTTCATTAAATAACATCATCGAAGTTCAAATTCAAATCCCTAATTTATAAAATAATCCATCACTCGAAATTTTGAAGATCAATGTCACTTAAATCTTCCTCATCAACCAATTTCAAACAATTGTCTGCATCTTCATCTTCATCTTCATCTTCATCTTCATCTTCATCAATCTCTTCAACTTCATCGACTCTAACTTTGGCCTTTCCCTTTCTTCTCTTATCAATCTCAAACTTGGCATTCAAATTTCTTGGACACACATATATATATATATATATATATATATATATATATATATATATATATATATATATAAACATTAAATAATATTGAATGATAGTATATTTTTAAACAAAAGAAATATACATAATATACCTCTTTCCCGTTTTGAGCTTGAAGCTTCTTCACTAAAGCTAAAATCTTCATGTACATCCATCCATGCACTATCTTCAGGTAAGCAAGGGTCTTCTTTTTCGGTGATCCACTCGTCATCAGATTCAATATCCGATAAGCATATTGGATCATAAGCTTATCCCTTCTCTACTCGAATTTTTTGTCGCGCATCAAGTTGGAGATTGTACTTAACATAGACAAGTGCATTAAGTCTTTGTTGCTCCAAGCGGTTTCTTCTTTTTGTATGCACTTGTTCAAATGTACTCCAATTCCTCTCGCATCCGGTAGCACTACATGTGAGACTTAAAATTCGCATAGCAATCTTTTGCAATTCCTTTACTTCTCCACCATAACTTTCCCACCAAAGAGCTATTAAAATAAAAATTAATATAAAATATAATTACCACAATAAATACATTAAGTAAATATATAGTAATATTTAATTAAAAAGCTACATTTTTTAAAAGTAAAACCATAAGAAAAAAATACTAGGCTGTTTTTTGTCCCTTGTTTCCTTGGCCATTTTTAATCCAAATAGCCCGTCCGCTCTTTTGAATTTCTCAAGTTGTGAATCAATCAAAATTCTTGTCCTGGTATCATCCGCAATCATCATCTCAATGGTTTTATGCAAACCATATATGACGTCACTATTTGGCTCGAACCCCTCAGCATAATGAAACCTAATAAAAATATAAAATAAATTAATAATAAACATTTTTTTATGAAATTCAAATTTAACAAAAATAAATAAAAAAAATTATTACTTAGGATTAAGATAATATGCCGCCGCATGAAGTGGTCTATGAAGTTGCCGGTTCCAACGGAGATCAATTATTTCCCATATCTTCTTATACCTCGACTTCACATTATTGAAGTTTTGAGCTATTTGATCTTTGGCTCTATCCATTGCTTCATAAATATATGGCATTGCTGGTTTTGAGTCACCATCTACAAGCCTCAATACTTTAACAATTGGACTCACACATCGCAAACAATATTTGATAGAACTCCAAAATTTGGCATTGCACGAAACAAGGTCCACTACTTCTTTACCATCATGCTTACGAGCATAAGAACTTGAAGTCCATACTTCCGAAACGAACATGGACTTAAGAGCACTTTTTTGATTCAAGATGCAGCTTAAAGTAAGAAAAGAAGTTGCAAACCTTGTTACGGCCGGTCTTGCTAATTCCCTTCCTTTAGAATAGTCTCTGAACAATCTTAGAACCCATTGATGTCTATATATGTAAGTGGTGATCCTTTTGGCGTTTGTAATGGTGGAATGGAAGATCGGAATTTTTCCAATATCTTCAAGCACCAAGTCAAGGCAATGGGCAGCACAAGGAGACCAACATAAACTCTTGTACTTCTCTTCCAACTTCTCCCCGGCAGACACAAGATTAGAAGCACCATCAGTTACAACTTGAACAACATTTTCAACCCCAATTTCTACAATCGTCTTATCCAATAACTCAAACATTTTTTGACCATCATTGATCTCATTACTAGTGTCGATGGATTTCAAAAATACCGTCCCACTTGGACTATTGACTAGAAAATTAGTGATTGATCGATATTTTCCGTCGGTCCAACCATCACACATCAATGTGCATCCCCATCTTTTCCATTCATCTGTATATTTCTCCATGGAGATTTTGACATGTTCAACTTCATCCCTAAGGTAAGAAAATCTTACCTCATGATAAGAAGGAGGCTTCAAACCTTTACCATATTCCCCAACCGACTTCAACATTTGAGTAAATAAGGGGCTTCTCACCAAGTTGAAAGGTAGAGCATTACCATATATGCATCTACATATGTCACGAATCACTGACTCTCTATCTTTCAGTGCTACATTCATCGTTGCTTGTTTCAATGTAGGCTCCTTTTTATAGAAAAATGGATGTAATCCTCCTCTTTCTTTGCCAACATCTTCGACTATTTCTTCATCCAAAACTTCAAGATTATTTGCCTCATTCTTCGTTTTTTTGCTACTTAACAATTTAGCAAATATTTCCTTTACTTCATCTCCTTCTCACAAACCGTACACTCATTACGTATTCCGGCAAGATGATGTTTCATTCTCGTAACGCCACCCCAATAATCTTTACCACAATAATTACATCGTAGATGTTTCGTTTCTGAAGGATCAACGACTGCACAATGGTTCCATGCAATATCCTTACTTCTTTTTTTTCTAGGAGCCATTGCAATCCAAAACACCCAAAAGCCAATACAACCACAAAATATATTTTTTTTGCGAAAAAGTAAGTGCTGAAAATTGCACAAACCCCCCAAAATATGCTGAAAAATGCAAGAACTACCCCCAACAATGATGAAAATTGTACAAGCAAACCCCAATTAATGTTGAAAGTTGCACAAACACCCCAATTAATGCTGAAAGATGCAGAAACACCCCAACCAATGCTGAAAGTTGCATAAACACGCCAACCAATGCTGAAAATAGCACAGCACCCCCCAACTAATCTGAAATTTCAACCAATCACCACAAATCAACGAGCCCACCTCAAATTGAACATACCCATGACAAAAAACGAACAAACTCAGACCTGATTAAACGAAATTTTGAAGAAATAAGGTTGTAGATCGCAAGCCCGTCCCAATTGTGCAAAACCCAGTCAAAATTGCCCTTGAATTGGTGTTGAATCTCAAACAAAACGCAAGAATGAATTGAAATTAAATATTAGAGTTGAGATATTGTGAGGATTGTTGAAGAAATTGAAGAGAAGAGTGAAAATTAGGTTTGGGAATTCTTGGGATGTTGAAGAGATTCTTCAAATTCGTTTTCTTTTTCAGCCGATTGAGTTTCCTTCTTTTTTTCCTTTTTTTTTTAACTTTTTTATTTGGGTGGATAAATATCGTATATATCGTATCGTATCGTGATACTGCGATCCGATACGATATATCGCGATATTTTTCCGATATTTATGAATAATCGATACGGAGCCCGAGTTGTATCGTTTTAATAGATACCGTACCGTATCGCGATATATATCGCGATATTAACTACCATGCATTGGATGCCTAATTACTGTCTCCAACAGTAATTTAACTGTCTTAGACAATAATATTAATAATATTACTGTTCGGGAAAATAATATTCATAATTTTATTGTCCAAAACAGTAATATTACTGTTTGAGACAGTAATATTAATTAAAATATTTTTTTTCTAAGAAAAAAAAAAAGTCAACGCCGGAGACCGGCGGTCAACGGTGGTTGACCGGCCGGAAAAAAGTTTCAGGAAAAAAAAAGTTTTCAAAAAAAAAAAAAATAGTCGACGCCGGAATCTGGCCGGAAAAAAAAAATTCAGAAAAAAATTTATTTTCTGAAAAAAAAGAAAGTTTGGAGGTTAATGTGATATATTTATTTAAATTCAGGGTCAATGTGTAATATTAAGAAAGTTAGAGCATAATGGGTGGAATTGATAAGAATTATATTATGGAGGGTGTTTTAGACTAAAGACATGGGGATGAGTTTAATTGATAGACTGTTTTTTTTTTTAACCAAAATGCATTTAAGTCCCATGTGATGGGCCTTTTTGCCATTTACCCTTATATGTTTAAATTTTTGTAATTGTTTTGGTTGGATTATTTGGATTTAATTATTTTTTAGCCTCAAAGTCAATACAATATTAAATTTCAATTTTAATGTGAAAATAGTGTTTTCAGTTAGCATCTAACGCCTCAAAACAATATTAAATTTCATTTATTTATTAGATCCGTTACAATACTTGATTAAGAAAATAATAAACTATTTGTGGAATAGTATCTTAAAATCAAGAAAGATTACGAAAATCAGTGATATGGAAGTTTATATATTTTGGAAGATTAGTCAAACTGATATGCTAAATACCGTACTAAAATTACAAAATCCCACACATAATCAAACTGATATGTTAATTACTGTTTCAATTTTTTTTAATAAACATAGTAGAAATATCTAATAAACAATACTACATATGTAAAACATGTTAATAATTAAAAATTATTAAAAAGATGTTTAAGAGAATTCTTGAAATCATAATTTTGGTACGAGTATGTTAAATTCGTGTTTGTTTTTTAGTCGCCTTTAAGAGAATGCCCTAAAAAAAGAGTGATAGATAGAAAATTTACAATATTAGAGAGAGAAACTTTTTTATTTGTGTGTGCGATTAGTAAATTTTAGTACGGGATTTAGCAGTCCACCCAAACCAAATAGGAATTACATTTTTGACTTGGTAAGTATATTTTTTTCAAAGCTTGATCATGGTCAATAATAATAATAATAATAATAACAATAATACCTAATTAATACCAAATATTATAATAATCAATGAGTTGGCTATAAATATCTCAACATCCCAATTCTTTTTCACAGAGAACCTCAAGAGAAAAAAGAAAGAAAAAAATGGCTACAGATTTCCCTCCTTATCCCCCTTGTGCAACTTATCCATGCAGAACTCGTGAATGCTGCGGTCTATTCAAATACAAGACTGAATGGCCGAATTTAGTTGGAATGGCTGCTGAACAAGCGAAGGCAATTATTGTTAAAGATAACCCTATTGTAGCTGTTGTTCTTGTGCACAAAGACGAGGGTGTAGTCGACAATTTTTGCTGCAATCGTGTTTGGCTTTTTGTCGACGACAAAAATCATGTTTCTCAGGTGCCTATGGTTGGATAGAAGAATTAAGATATCCCAAAATAATTAAATAACTACGGCCTTAATATATAAGGTTTCAATAAATATTTGAAGTGGTGCAGAAGAGACTTTGATTCGATGTAACCCATCATATATCTGTATTACTACTCAAAATTGATCTTTTTTTTTAAATACATTTTCTAATCATTCATGTCAGTCTATTAAGTTTTGCTGGAAAAAAAAAACTTTGATAAGTTTTGAGTCCAATAAATGATTTTTCGTGATCTGGGCCAGTTTTTACAAATCGCAGCACAACTCATGGAATCGAGCCCAAAAGCAAGTTAAGCCCGCTGATCTGTCAAATTCAATCTTGACCGTCTATTGCGTGAGATTAATCTTGATCGTTCATCTCTTCTTTCTACTCTTTCTCTCTCAAACCCTAGCAGCTCACTTTTAAGCTGCGTTGATTCTCTCTCCTCTAATGCCCTTCTCTCTCTACAGTGTTTCGTCACCCATTGTTGTTTTCCGGCGACAACATCACAGGTCTAGCTGGAAAATGGGTGTCCTTGCCGTCGCAATACATTTAATTTTGAGAGAAAGGAGGCGTTTCCTAAATAGCATACGCACGTTAAGGTGTCGGAACTCAGACCTTGGTTCCGGCGAAAACCCCAAATTAAATGATAATCCTCTCACCTTAAAATGATAATTGGATTGTTTATATGCTAGATTTATTTGATTATGGGCCTAATATATGATTTCGGCCTTTGTTAATATTTGGGGGCTTCACAGTACTAATTTTTACTTTTAAATAATTATTTAAAAACACCAATTAAGTCAGGCAAATTCTTTTATTATGTTTAATCTAAATCTACCACCATTACTTTATCTTATTTAATTTCCTCCCCATTTATTCAACATATTATTCCCCTCTCTCACACAATAATCCATATGCATCCAATTGCACACGACTAGCTATTGCCATTTCTTTAATCCGGGTAAATAGCATAAACCCCTTTGGCCTATGTTAATTAAAGTTCGTACCAAACCCGTATGTGTTAATTAAATTCTCTTCTACTTCATTTTTCCTTGAACGAAATTTTTCCTAATAATTAACACAAATAATTATGAAGAAGATTTTCATGCAAGTTTTTTGTATCTTACGGGGATTCGGTGTATTTTTTTTGCAATAGAGGGGATATATCCAAAATTAACTTATTTATTTAAAATTCAAATTATTTTCTTAAAATTAAGTTGAAAATATTTTTAAGAATAATACATTTATTAATGTACAATATGTAATAAAAAAAGGTGGTGGATATACACAAGCCCACAAATTTCTTCGTACAAGATCATCAATGTAAATATACTAATTTATCCTTAATCAAATCCAATCCAAATTAAGATATATAAAAAAAAAAAAAAAAAAAAAAAAAAATCATTTTCTTTGTGCAAGTCAAAAAAAAGCTACAAACACACTCATTATTTCACAATTTAAAAATCTCCTTCTTCGTTTTCTCCTCCTTCACAACCCCACCAAGAACCCTAAACATGAAAACGATCAAATAATCACCAAACATTCACAATGGAGTCGGAAAACAAGGAGATGGTCGTTTATGAGGGTGAAAATGTAATAAGATATGTGATAAACGTTTATTTTAGCTTATGCGTCGTTCCTTTTTTTTTTTTTTTGAAAAAAAAAGCGCCGATATCAAAAATCAGTATTCACAGTCCGATATTTTCAAAATAATCGGTATACACATGCCGATTTTACAAGCAAAAATCAGTATTACAGTGCCGATTTTTCTAAAAAAATCAGTCGAAACTTTTTTCGAAAAAATCGGCGCGTACACGTTGATTTCCCAGCTCCGATTTCAATTTCAAAATTTAATCCTAATCGACCAAACCATGACAGCCCAACAAGAAATAAGATCGATTATGTCACCACGCATATTTATTAAGGAACCAATTATCGTTTTCAAGGAATCAATGCTCGATTAATGTTTTCGAATTTACCAACAAATTTTTTTTATAAAAAGTGGTGGGTTCGTGGTGGTGGTGTGCAAGTGCGTGGGTTGTATGTCGGCGCCGGTGCGGTGTCGATCTCCCTGGTCGGTGTCGCATCCGTGGTGTGGCGGCGGGTCGGGCACTTCTTTTTGTTTTTTTTTTTTTTTTTTTTTTGGTCTTGAACAAATTAAAAATAAGAATATAGGGTTTGTGTTTGTATTTTGGTAGTATTTGTGGATGAGGACATATTCGTCCTCTTTGATCTTCATATAAAAAAAATAGATAAATTTGTGGGCTTGAACTAAAGAACCCTTTTATGTGTGGTTGAACAAAGAAAAAAATATTCATATCATTTTAAATTTTGAAAATTGTATTCATATATTTTAGAAATTATTTCATCTTGTCCATTATAATATTATATTTATAAAATAATAGAATACAAAATGTCTTTCTACTTCTTACTTGTAGATTTAAAAAAAAGTTACGGTCACTCCTAAGGTAATGTCAAATTATGAAAATAAATTCTCATATTGGGTAATTACAGTCACCTCCTTAACTATAAATATTCTTACATGTCCATCCTTATGGTGTCAAATCTAGTGAAACCATTTAGATTATGTGGAATATTCTTCAGTTTGTACCCGTTTTACCATATTCGAACTCCACATTTTGAAACAAAATGATCATACAATGTGTTTATTGACTTATAAATATCAGATTGTGGTGCATCAGAAATTGTATTTTTGCACAAAATAAGTACAAACAAGATAACATTCCACATAATCTAAAAGATTATGTTGAGCTTGACACCATAAGGGTGGACGTGTATAAAAATTCATAGTTGATGGGTGGTTGTAATTACCGAAACATGTGAATTTTTTTTCGTAATTTGACCTTAACTCGAGAGTGGCCGTAATTTACCCTTTAAAAAAGGATATTACCAATAAGCCCATCATTGACAACTTATTCATATCTAGGTTCAACCATAAAACTTATTTACAAAAAGACCCAGACATAATCCAAAGTGTCTAAATGATCAAATTATCCCCTCATATTTTAATATACTCTAATTTCATCTCTTTAATCTCAATTTAATCTCAATTTGACACCAATTTCACAAAAGATTCAGTTGACCCATAATCAATATTTGACCTTAATTTTAACTATCGCCAACATTATTCACTGGTCTCCAACATTTTTTTTTTCTGTCTTCTTTTCTTTTTACGTTGTTGCTGATCGGCGGTCAAGGTGTGTCTCAGACGGCGTTAACCTTCTTTTTGAATTTTTTTTCTTAAAATATTTTTCAGAATTTTTGGACCCGTGTAAAAACATTAATATTGTTGTGGTTGACATTAATATTAACTATACAAGATTTTTGGGCCGTACGATTCATGGGATTGAAGTAAAACTAATACAAAGTAAAGTTCAATTTAAACGACAAAACTGAAGTTTCAATTCATTTTGACGTTTGCTATATGTGGTGATGATAATCCCCCATCCATAATTTTTTTTGCTATATTTATTAATTTAAATTTATGTTTTTGAAGTAAATGGTTGTATATTTATCTTATCTCAGTTAATGTAGAGGTTTGACGAATGTTATTCTTTATCACCACCAATACATGCCTCAGTAAATTTACTGTAAATCAATGATGCCATTAAACCTCAAAAGTTTATCAAGAATAACTTTACTTTTATCAATAAGATAACAACAAAATCTTTTTCAAAACAATTAAATATTTTTTCCATAGGATACGTAGATTTAGGGCCAAAAAGTCTGGATAATAACGGATATATGAAACTTAATTATATTAAATAAAATAAAACAATAAAATTAATTAAATAAATAAAATGACAACTATAACTATCAAATGAGTGAGGAGAACTTCATAGGGTTTAGTAGAAGCAACCTTACTATTATTAATAAGATTACTATTTTACTCATTAATATTGATATATTACTGTTTAACACTTAACACAATAATATTAATGCAATAAAATCACTATGTTATATATTAAATTTAGTTAAATATAATTTGCATCCGTAAAGTATATGAGTTGTAAACTTATCTATTTGGGCCCTGTTTGGTTGGCAAGATAAAAATAGCCAAGATAAGATTAAATAATCTAATGAAACCCAATTATTTTATTGGAGCTTGAAACGTCTAACAAAAAAAAAAAAATTCATTAGAAGGTAAGATAATCCAAGATAAGGCAAGATAAGTCATGATTATATAATTTTGGCAAGTCGACCAGACAATTTATTGAGGATACCAAACATCAAATTAAGTCCAACTATTTAGTTAATTATAACTTATCTTGACAACCAAACGGGGCCATTGAAGTATTAAATGTAACACTTATACCTCGTTAAAAAATCTAATAATAAAATTTCAACTTATATGACATTTTTTAATTCTCATAATCATTAAATAAATGATGATTTTTTTAAGAAAAAAATGGACAAGAAAAAACGTGTAAGAAAGACATTTTTGGGAATAAGCATGGAAATAGAGATCCGGTATGGGGCTCTTGTGGGAAAAGAAAAAGACAGAACTGGGCTTCGTGGCAAATAGCTTTTTGTAATTTATAAATGGGTCCCTAGATCTTGGGCCATAGGCGGCTGGCCCAGTTGACCTGGGCCAGGACGGGCCTTAATTCGCACTATAATGATTATTTATTAGGTGCTATATGACAAAACCCCAATGAAATTTTATGTTTTGATAATTCATTTTTTAATTCGAAATATGACATACAGTTAAACCTTTACAAATTAATAAAGTTGAGATCATCAAAATCTCATCAATTTAGTGAAATATTAACTTATTGATAAATTCATAATTATTAAGTTATACATGACATACAGTTAAACCTTTACAAATTAATAAAGTTGAGATCATCAAAATCTCATCAATTTAGTGAAATATTAACTTATTGATAAATTCATAATTATTAAGTTATACATTAATTAATAATTTACTAATTTATGAAATTATTTTTATTATTATTTTCAATAAATACATTTTCTTTAATTTTTTACGTGTATATTATTCATTGTACCATTAGTTCAATGCACTATAGTGCCCGTTTCACGAACGGAAGCTTTTAAAGTAGCAATGATATAGAACGATTTTATGATGAGTTATGAGAAAACTATACCGAAAGTTCTAATCATGTTAAGAAAAGTGAGGAATGAGATTGATGGTAATGCGAACTTCAACAAGAAACAGACAACAATTAAATTATATTGTATTAAGCCTTCATAGATGTATAAAATATGTATTATACCATGTAATTTAAGAATTATTTTTATGCATTATTACTTTATATATTATATGGGGCTTCTTAAATTTTTTGAATGTGTATTATCTTATAAATTTAGCGAATTATTAATTTACCACGTTATCCCCGAGTCGGGACCGGAAAAAATTATTATTTAAGCGAGGTTATATATTTATCGGGTATTAATTTATCGAGATTCTACTGTAAACCCATTCGACTTAAATTATCTAAAATGTCCCTGTCATACACTTTCTCCAAAATAACTACTCCATACATATCACGGCATTTCAGTTTTCTATTTTCTCATTCCTTTTCTTTTTTGATTTTTTTCAAACAAAATATGGTTTTTTTAATTTTAACTTTTTGAAAAATATTTTTATTTAATTTTTCTATTTATTTACTTTTTTATCTTTTTCCAACAAGTTTAAAAAATATGGTTTTAACTCCCAATTCTTTTATGTTTTTTTATTTCAAAATTTTAATTATTTTTTTTATGGGTTACAAAAATTAAATTCAACTATATACTCATCGAAAACTACTATTTTTTTTCGAACACCACTTTAAAATTACCTTAAAAATCACAGTAAAATTGACGTATCAACTTTAATATTAACATAATCCCCAACAAACTTATCGAAATCCACTAAATACGTATGAAATTCACTATGAATGAACGTAATCCACTATTAACACAACTCAAAAAACAACGAAACAAACTCGCAAATCCACTATTCATAAATCCACTAATTCGAAACGTAAATCCACTATTGGAAAAACCCACTATTTGGTCCAGGAAAAGTGCAACACCACCACCACCACCAACAAGGATCGCGAGACTTCATTCCGAGTGTTGTACTACGGTGATGCCACCACTTAAGTGTCATTCACGAACACCCAAAACACACGTTCAACGACAAAATCCCTCTCGTGGAACTAACAGTGGTGCCATATGTTTCCAACCAAGTCTCCAGCCTTCTTGGTGGCCTTTGCGGCATCTTTCCCCATTTACACAAAACATCCTTAACCTTGTCTCATTATCTAACATCCCTCCTCGCCACCATTGCTCGATCTATCAAGAAACTGTAACAATTATAATAAATCAAAGACATATCAATTCAATTCATTCAAAACATCTCCCTTTCCAAGCAACTTAAAATCCACTCAAATGTTATCGAAATCCACTATAAAGTTATCGAAATTCACTACAAAGTTATCAAAATCCAATAGAAATTAACTTACTCCATAACCAAATTAACATAACCTATGTAACTATCAAAATCTACTATTAAACTCTTTAAATAAAAAAAATCACATCAAATAAAAAAGGATAACAAACAAGTGGTAAAAGAAAATATCAACATTGATTTGCAACTCCATCGGAGATCCATTTTCAACCAGGAATTGCTATATGATAAGCAAATCACAGATATATATATATATATATATATATATATATATATATAGAAAGAGAAAAAACAAAGGAGGAATTAAATAAGGTTTATGGAAAAAGAAAATCAAATGCCCTCTTAAATTTTAGTAGCAGTAATGAAGATTAAGAAAAAAAAACCTCTTTGTTTAATTATATGTTGTCACCACCCCACCGCACGTCAATGTACATTTGGTAGAAGGCGACGAGGTCTTCGGAAACGAGCTGGCAAATAGCGTAGATCTACTAGGTGTAGCCGCAACTCTTGACGTGGATGCACAAGTCAAATCCGGCAAACCGTTGGCTGGCGATGAGGAGGAAGAACCCAAACACATTGTCTCGTTTTGAGGGTTGGTAACCGATCTGAGGCGCCTGTGAGAGAGAAGCCGTAAAAAGAAAGAAAAACGATGAAATAGAATATAAGAGAGAACGGTTGAGAATTGTGGTTAGGTTAAAAAATTAATTAAGGGTAAAATAAGTTGAGTGCGTAATATTTTAATTTAATATTAATTATTGGATTTATGTTAAAATGGGGAAGAAAAATCGGCCATTCCTAATAGGAGTTTTATACGAGGAGGTTTTAGCAAATTATCCCTATTTATTAATGATAATTCATAATTTTGGAATTGTCAAGTTGAAATAAAATTTATTCTTTGGATTTGTTATTAATGACATCACCCACCGGGCGGTTTTGACCAGGAACCGACCTAGAACTGTCCTGTTGACTGAATTATCCTGTTGACCAAGTTTGAACCTGCGAATATTATTTAGGGTAAATGAGTGATAACTCCATAGTTTTGAAAATATATATGAGGAGGTTCAATAAATTTTTCCGCCCGAGTTGAAAATTCAAATTTCAATCTTAATTTGTGAGACCTCTGAGCTACTTAAAATACCTGTTTGACCCTTTTAGTTTCAATTTACCCTAATCTTCTCTCTCTTCCACTCACACCCACAACAACCGCCATTATCTTTTTCCCCTCTCCCTCTCTGCATCTCTCGTTCTCTCCTTCTCTGCATCCTCGTTCTCTCCCTGCATCTCTTGTTCTCTCCCTCTCTGCATCCATCTCTTGTTCTCTCCCTCTTTGCATCCATCTCTCGTTCTCTCCCTCTCTGCATCTCTCGTCCTCTCCCTCTCTCTAAATCTATCGCCAAAAAAGAAATATATAAAATCACAAAAGTCTCCGGGCAGCAGAGAAGAAGCTGAAGAAGAGCATCGACTCGGTGTTTTTTTTTTCCGATGAAGGTTATGAATTCGCTTATCGATAAAACTCTTCACCTTTTTATGTTTTTTCTTTCTTTGATGAAGACCAACTGAATTCGAAAATTTCAAATCGTGATCCAACGATGTGTATCCAGATCTAATGGTGAGTTTCAGATATGGAACCAGTGGTGTTTGATATGTATATAGTTACTGCATTTATAAAAAAAAAAATTCCAGATCTACTCTGTTTTTTTAAGATCTCTGAACAATTAATATTAAGAATATTTTTCTTTGCATTAATTTGACTTTTTATTTTGTTTGATTCTTGCCTTGTTCATTTTTATAATAAATCATATGTAATTTATTTCTTGTATTTATTTGAAGATGATTAGAAATGCCTCAAGTGCGAGAGCTTTGTTTCTCTGCGGTAGAAACTTAATCAGTAGTGGTTACTTAGATGGGTGATTTGGAGCATATGAATATACAGTTATATGTAGTCATATACAGTCATGTGTAGTAGTCATGTATAATCATGGCTACATAAAACTATACATGACTATAGGACTTGTAGTATACTATAATCATTTGTAGTCAATTTCAGTACAGTAAATTTAACAAAAAAAATAATAAACATCATGTTTTTTTGTATTTTTCATGTAATCTAACTCGCATGTTCCATTTTGCTCTTTAACTCGTATTTTTTAGTCGCAGGTGTTGCTTTTATAATCTTATGACATGCAGAGAATAAGATGCGGTGAAGTGCCTCATGAAGTTGGATTCATACAACAGTAGTCTAGACTTTATGTTACTATAGATAACTATAGATAATTGTAGATAACTATACTCACGTGTAGTAACATATAATTATATGTATGCAATAGGTTTTTTAATGTACAGTAATGCTTGTTCATGTTTGTAAAATATATGCATGTGATTGAGGTTTTTTCATTTTTCGTTTGTTAGTTGATTTATAATATCAAGATCCAAATTGTGAATTTTGTAGCTGGTGCAGATGAATTTTGGTGCAGATGAACTTTATCTTTATTTATGGATCCATATTTTAGTAGCTATAGACATTTTAATGTAAAAATTAATTATCATCATCTATTTATCATAAATTGTTCACTTATAACATGTATTTTCTACAATTTTGAGCCTCAAACACATCTGAACAAAATACTAAATTTATTTATCTTTAATATTCGATATTGAGTATAACTAAATTTTTATCCTACTCTCAACCGTATCATCCTCTAAAACCGATAAATCCATGTTCTTGGTTATTAATGATGATTAATGGCATGATATTCTCCCAAAATAATGTCGAAGGAAAAAAAAGTTTGAAAAAAATATAATGATACATATAAGTTTTGAATTTGTAAATAGAGTGTCTATGTTTACTAAAAATATACGTGTGATATTTATTCAAAATAATATCGTTGAAAACTTCTAAAAAAATTTAACAAAACAAGATGGTATATATATTAGATTTTGAAATTTTTGAATAAAAATGCGTTACATTTACTAAAACTCGTCCTGCATTTAGTAGCACCCTAATTTCTTTAGTTAAAAAGTTTTATTATAACTAAAGGAGTTTCACAAGCTTCTTCTATTCACACTTGATTGATGTACAGAGAATGAATTTATACAAGATAATTGACTCAATCAAGCCTTATTGAGTTATTCTAATCACGTCAAATCTGGAGGAAAATATTATAACAGAATCACGTAAATAAGGGAATTAGCTAATCATGTAAATAAGGAAATAAGCTAGGATGGAGTGATATCCTTGATATGCCCCCGCAAGATGGCATGTCGGTTAGAGATGCCAATCTTGGATCGTAGACTCTCAAATGTTGGGCCTGAAAGAGGTTTGGTTAGGAGGTCTGCCAGCTGAGCTTTGGATGAAACGTGAGAAACACGTAATTGGCCATTCTGAACAAGCTTTCGAACAAAGTGATAAGCCACTTCAATATGTTTCATGCGCGAGTGGAACACAGGATTTGCGCAAAGATAGGTTGTCCCAAGATTGTCACAGTAAATGACCGGTTGAGTGGCAAGAGATATTGAAAGCTCGTTGAGAAGGCCTTGCACCCAACATAATTCCCGTGCAATGATAGCAACAGAGCGATATTCTGCTTCAGTGGAAGAACATGCGACCGACCGTTGTTTCTTGGAACTCCAAGCAATAGGGTTACGACCAAGGAAGACTATGAAAGCGCTTGTAGATGTGCGATCATCTTTGTTGCCAGCCCAATCAGCATCTGAAAATGCATGAAGGGAAAGTGGTGAATTACTAGACAAGAACAACCCAAGGTCAGAGGTGCCTCCCAAATAGCGTAGAACTCGTTTTACAGCTGTCCAATGATTCATAGTAGGTTGATTGGCAAATTGAGCAAGTTTATTTACCGCAAACGCTATGTCCGGACGCGTGAGCTGTAGATATTGTAAGCTCCCAACAATTGTTCGATATTCTTTAACATCATCAAGATGAGCACTGTCGGCGATAGATAAGGTGTTGCCCGTCGATAGGGGTGTCTTAACGGCCTTAGCACCAATCATATTTGCACGACCTAATAGCTCCATGATATACCGTTTCTGAGAAAGAAATAATCCATGGTTGCTTCGAGTTACCTCCACACCCAAAAATAAGTTCAGATCGCCTAAATCTTTGATAGAAAACCGTGAGCCGAGTTTCTTGATAAATGTCTCAATGGACGAGGAGTGATTTCCTGTGATAATCAAATCGTCAACATAGACAATTAAATATATGATGATGCCATTATGAGCAAAGATAAATAGGCAGGTATCAGATGCAGAATTAGTGAAGCCAATGGAGAGAAGAAAATTTTGTAACTCTGAGAACCACGCCCTCGGTGCTTGTTTCAAGACGTAGATTGCCTTATGTAACTTGCATAAATGATTTGGAAATGCTTCATTTATAAAGCCCGGTGGTTGAGACATATAAACGTCTTCGGTCAAGTGACCATGGAGAAATGCATTATTAACGTCCAATTGCCGTAGAGACCAATTCCGTGAAACTGCGATAGAGAGGACAACTCTAACAGTTGTATGCTTGGCCACAGGTGAGAACGTCTCGTCATAGTCAAGACCTGGCCGTTGGTGAAATCCTTGGGCAACAAGACGTGCTTTGTATCGACTGACTGTTCCATTGGAGTTGTACTTTATCCTGAAAACCCACTTGCAGCCAACAACATTACATGAGGTATGGGAAGCAACTAAGGACCATGTTTTCTGCTTGTTCAACGCATCAAGTTCTTCTTGCATGGCAGCTCGCCAACGAGGATCTTGAAGAGCAGTAGACACAGATTTTGGCTCTTGAGGTTTTGAATTTTCAGTGGAGTTTGGTTTTGTAGTGGAAGAAATCAAGGAAGGAGTTTTGGGTTTGGATTTTTCCGTGGCAAGGCAAAGACGCTGATTGGGTTTAGAAATATTATTTTTGGATCGAGTTATCATTGGGTGGCTTGGATGAGTTGGTGGTTGTATGGAAGATGAATGTGCAGTAGAACCAGTATTTGTGCAAGATATATGCATACCTGAAATGTTACAGGAGGAGTCCATGCTTTCGCTTGATGAAGGAGCATCGTTGGCGACATCATCAACCATAGGGGAGGCTTGAGCCGGCGGTGGAGAGATTGATGTGGTGGATAGTTAGTGGTTTGGGATAACAAAATGAGACGGAGCCCAAGCAGCAATTGGTAGTTCGGTAGGCCGAGTTATGGGTGTTTCTGTACTAGTGTATGGGAAGGAAGTTTCGACAAAGTCGACATGACGAGAAATATATAAACGGGATTTCACAGGGTCAAAGCACTTATAACCACTTTGATTTTCAGCGTAACCGAGAAAAATACAAGGTGCAGACCTTGGTTGCAACTTATTTTGGTTATATGGTCGAAGCCATGGATAACACAAACATCCAAAAACTCGAAGCTTTGAGTAATTTGGATGTCGGCCAAAAAGGGTTAAAAATGGTGAATTATTATTAAGAATTGGTGTGGTCATGCGGTTAATTAAATAAGTTGCAGCCTGGAAAGCAAATGACCAGAATGTTAATGGTAAGTTTGCCTGATGAAGTAAGGTGAGGCCTGTCTCCACAATATGGCGATGGCGGCGTTCGGCAGTAGCATTGTGTTCAGGTGTATGGGGTG